AAACATTCCTGTTTTTGAAAAGCAAGCAAACGCCATTGTGAAGAGCAGTAGTTTCAAGGCGCGACTACCAAGCCTCTAGAGCAGGGATAGGCAAACTATGGCCCATCGGAAGGTGTTCTATTCAGCCGCGTATAGAATTTTAATTTGACGGTCCAAGCCAAATTAAACGAAATATATATTATATATCGGTCTCCTTTTCTGCTTTGGTTAAGTATTATTTGTTTTCTTCATTTTTTTTCAAAGGACTGAGGATCTTTTTACTTTCTCTTTATTTGTTCTACAAAACATTAATCGACGAAAATAGCAAGCACAGACAGCTTTTATTCGGTAAGGTGTTAAAAGCTGAAGTTCTTTGTTGGTTATAACTGTAAATAGGTGCCAATAAGCGTATCTCTTTCTCTGGAAGCATATGGGATTCCAATATAGGTGAATTACACTGGTGTGCAAAACTTAAGCAACAATGCAAATTTTAATCAGATAACCATGCAGTTGCAGAAAAGGGGTTCTTGCTATCAGTACTATGAACACGCAATTCAGTAGAAAGGTCATGCATATGCAAATGTCAGGAAAAAAAGGTCACAGGCTACGTGATTGTACGCGAAACGCGTGCAGTCGGCGCGCTCCACTCAAGACTACCATAAGGAAGGACGGAGACGCAATTAAAGACATTCGCTGCAAGTACAGGTGAAATCTTTCGTGAAATATGGCTAGAAGAAATCATCTGGATGACTTCACAAGTGGAAGAATGATCGGAAAGCTGGAGGAGGAGCTTAATGTGACCAGTGTGGCTAAAAATTTCAAAGTCAACAAAAGTGTCATTTTGCGGGCTTGGAAAACCTTCCAAACCATAGGTACAGCTATTAGAAAGGTTGGTGGTGGCTGCTCCAGGACAACAATTGCAGCAGATAACCAATATATCGTCCTACAGGTGAAAAGAGCCCAAAACCAGTCAGCAAGTTCCACAGCTTAGCAACTGTGTACAGCAACCGGCAACAATTGTCGTGGTTTACTGTGTCCAGACACCTTCACAAAGATGGCCTATTCGCCCGCCGTCCTGAACGCTGCATCCCTTTGAAAGTTGGCCATCGGCACCACCGTTTAGAGTGGTGCAAGGAGCACAAAAACTAGGTATCTCATCAATGGAGTCATGTCCTCCTTACAGATGAGAGTCGTTTTAGTGCCCCAAGCAATTCTCAACGCCAAATTATTTGGAGAGAGGTAAGGACACGGTTTAATCTCAGTAACATCACGGAAAGAGACCATTACGGTGTCCTGGAGATCTCGTCTGGGGAGGCATTATGCTGAACGGGCGATCAGAGCTCCATGTTTTTTGACAGAAGTTCTGTAACTGGAGATTGCTATTGTCAGGAGGTGATCCTTGTCTATGTGCGTCTGATCTGAGGTGCAGTTGGACCAGACTTCGTTTTTATGGATGGCAATGCACGGCCACACCGGACTCCTGCTGTTCAGAAGCTACTGAAAAGTGAATATATCACTCGAATGGATTGGCCAACGTACTTCCCTGATTTAAATCTCATAGGACATGTATGGGATGGGGAGACGCCTTGAGGCACGATTACATCCTCTGGCAAACACCCAAAAACTGAAACAGATGCTGATTGAGAAATGGGCATCTTTTTCCTCAAAATCTGTTGGGCAATCTGGTGCTGAGTATGGACAGACGGTGAGAAGCAGCCATTGCAGTAAGGGAAGGGCATATCCCATACTAAGGAACATCTCCTTGTTGTTCTTCCACTTATACAGACAATCGTATGTAATGATACTATGAGTTCAATAAAGCCTTCTTTTGTTTAATTCCATACTGTATGCATTGTATTCATTTTTCCGGAATTATGCTTTCGTCATCATTTAAATACAAAATGCTGTCTCTTATTTCTGATTTTCGTGTGTCTCTGATGATATCTCGTGGATTTATGTAAAAAAGAACACCTGTTGCTTAAGTTTTGCGCACCAGTGTAGATCTCACGTGGCAGACTGCACATTTGAAGCTCTAGCCAGCAGCTTTTCCTTTTGCCGCAACTTATAATATTATTGATAGCGTATGGAAAGATTGCTGACATATAGCATCTATTAAAAGTATAGCGTAGCTAGTGCTTGTTTGGGTTATTCGTAAAATATTTTAACTACAAAATAGCTACTAAAAAAAGTAAAGTTGATTCAGAGTACTGTGCTTTTAACGATAAATGGACCTGGAAGTACTTTTTACAGTTGTAAAAGTTAAACCATTGTGTCTCATCTGCAATGAAGCTGAAACAGTCTTCAAAGAATATAACATTTCCCGTCATTTCATATCTAAGTTCAAGAATTCCAATAACAAAGCAGTATCTGAATATGAAAGAAAACAAAATGCAGAAAGCTTTTGTAAAAAATTATCAGGCCAACAAATTTTTTTCAAGGTAAACAGTATTCATGAAGCAGCTACACATGCAAGTTACATTGTAGCATACAATATTGCTAAAAATAATAAAGCTCTCGGTGATGGGGAGTTCGTTAAATACTGCATGCTCCAAGTTTATGATGTTTTATGTCCAGACAAGAAAACTAATTTTGAGACTGTAAGCTTATCTCGAAAAACGGTGACTTCTACAATCGGAAGGTATCGATAAAAATTTGACATCACAATTAGAGTCAAAGATTAGCCGGTTTTAAATTTTGCACTATAGCCATGGATGAAAGCACTGATATAAATGATACTGCTCGATTAGTATTATTTATAAGAGGTGTTGAGAACTTTGAAATTACCGGGGAACAGGCGTGCACGCGTTCTTTAAAGGGAACTAGAACAGGATGTGATATTTTTCGTGAATTTAAGGAAGTAACTATAAACTATAAGAAATGCCTATAACAAATATATGTAATATTATGACCGAGGCAGCACCAATTATGACAGGGAAAAAATCTGGATTTCTTGGAATCTTTAAATCAAAACTATCCCAGGAACAGGGTTGTTTTTTTACATTGTGTTATACATCAAGATGCTCTGTGTAAGTCTGCATTGAACATGAAATCCGTGCTGGATGCAGTTGTGAAGCTTGTGAATACTATTTGATCTTGTGGGCTTACTCGTAGGCAATTTCGAGATTTTCTTCAGTCCATGCAATCTGAATGCTCTGAAGTATGGTGTTACAGGAAAGTAAGGTGGCTTAGTGCAGGATGTGATTTCGAGCAAGTTTGGCAGTTGAAGGACGACATTGTGCCATTCTTCCATAAGAAACTGTGTTCTGCACAGTGCGAAATGTTAGAAGATACAGAATGGTTTTCGGACTTTGCATTTTTCACAGATCTTCTTTGCCATATGAGCAATTTGAATGTCAAGATGCAAGCGAAAAATCAACTTATCGATGATATCTGCATCCATCTCAAAATTTTTAAACTAAAACAATCTGTTTGTTGGGCAACTAGCTAAGAACAACTTCTCATTTCCCAAGGTTAAATTCAATACCCTCAGTAAATGAAGAGATACCTAAAAATTGTGAAGATGGCTTGAAAAATTGCATTTTAAGTTCGAACGCAGATTTCAAGATATAAGTGCCATTCAAACAGAATTGGATCTTTTTACCATGCCTTTCAACACAAATTGTGAAGCAGTGAGGTCAGATTTGCAACTTGAATGAATTGAGTTGCAATCTAACGATCATCTCAAGCAGTTGTTTCTAGATATGCCGAAGTTAAAGTTTTACAAATCATTATTGAAAGTAAGTTTTCAAATTTAATATCTCAAGTCCAGAAAATCAGTGCTGTGTTTGCTTTATCTTATATGTGTGAACAAGTGTTTTCAACTATGAACCTTAGAAACAATTATTTCTGAATTAGACTGGCAGATGAGCATTTAGCCTTGTTCCTTAGAATCAGTACATCTCATTTTGAACCTCAATATAAGGAACTTTTTTAAATGAAATCGCAATTTCATTCATCTCATTAATATATTTAAATTGTATATTGTTTTTAAAATTTTAGAAAAATTTATCGTGGCCCACCAAACTTTTTTTTTTTTTCAATTGTTGGCTTGCGTCTGAAAACGTTTGCCCATCCGTGCTCTAGTGGCTCAGTGGTCGTGCTCTGAAACCATAAATATAGATAGGTGTTTTTATATATGCAGTTTTATTGCAATTTTTTATTGTTTATGATAGAAATCATGATGTGCGATGAATAACTTTTGAAATCTAAAATTGTTTATATTAATAAAAGGAAGTTATTTTGTCTCGTTGAAAAGGAATTTTAAAAGGCATCTGATACTAAAACTGTACTAAGACCAAAAACATGTATGATTCTGCAGTCATTATGTATTATTTAGAGGTAAAAGATCAGTAATCAATTGATTTTCACTTAATAATTTTGTAAAGAAGAGGAGAAAAAAATTCGATTTCATGGTGTGACCACCACGCATCAAAGGGTGAAGCATGAAAATGCTATTTGTTAATTTGAATTTTTATTTCAGCTAGATGTTTTTAATTTGTAAATCCAGCGATGAACACAATTGGAAGCAAATTAATTTAAATATTCTATCAATATATGTGTAGAATAAAAGCATATTCAAAATAATTTAGTTCTATCTCAAATCCATAAAAATCTCTGATGATAGATAGCATTTTCAGAAACTTCAGTGAGCAGAACTCCTGGCCATGTGTGCTTTTCATGAACTGACTAAAATTTGGAAATTATTTTTGTAGTCTTTATTATCAGGCCCACCAGTGGCCGAGCGGTAAAGTCGCTGAACACTGGTAGTTCGAATCCCGCGAACGGGCTGGCTGCATGGGCGTTTTCGTGGTTTTCCCCATCTGTAACGTGTATACGAGCCAGTTTCCCTCAGAAAGTCCTCCACGAAGGCATCCCTCCCCTTAGGCAGATAGCCCTAGTGTGCTTTGCCATAATTAAATACACCACCTTTATTATCAGAATAAATAGATGTAATAAAAAAGGAAATATAATAAAGATCTGTTTCTTATTATATGCTTATTAATTTAAATATTTTATTTCAGATATTGAAAAGAGTTCCAAATAGTGTTTTGTGGCTCTTAAGATTTCCAGCTGTGGGTGAGCCTAATATTATTCAATCAGCAACTCAACTTGGTTTATCCCCTAGCCGATTAATCTTCTCCAATGTTGCTGCCAAAGAAGAGCATGTACGCCGAGGGCAGTTAGCAGATTTGTGTTTAGATACTCCACTGTGTAATGGACATACAACTGGCATGGATGTATTATGGGCAGGAACACCTATGGTTACATTAGCTGGAGAAACTCTTGCTTCTAGAGTTGCATCATCTCAGTTGACTTGCTTAGGTGTCCCGGAACTTATAGCTCGAAGTCGCCAGGAGTATGAAGATATTGCTGTACGACTTGGAACAGACAAAGAATAGTATGTATAATATTTAGTGTTATGTATTGTTTCAGTAGATGAATATAACAGTGTGAATATTAATTTTTCACGCACTTAAATCATATTCATCAAAGCAAGTGCTTATGACTAAAATAGTGCTTCTTCATGAAAACTTGTATATATTCATATTAATTTAAATTTTTAGTATTTGTATTTATGGATTATTTTCAAAGTTAAATGAGATTGTTAAAAATGAGTAGTATAGGCATTTGATCATTGGTTTCTAGTATATAAATTGAGAGATAATTTTTGTAGGGTCTAGTTATATGTTTCTGGGATAATTATATGCATTTTCCTACAGTTATGAATGAGTCTGAAATTCATAATTGTAAGTTGTAGATCAGTTTTTAGTATTCAGATTTGTTAAATATAATTAATATATATAAAATATACATTTATTATTAAAATATTCTCTTTTAAGAGTCTATTCTCCCTCCCTTTTTCTCCCAAAGCAATTACATGTTAATCAGTTAGGAAATTGAAATCTTGCAATCCGTGCTTCCAAATTCTTTTAAGCCTACAATGGTGAAATGATGAAAGCCACAAAATGCTTTAAGTTTTTTTGGTACTTTTCCGTTTTGCCAGCGCAAATCTCGCCAAGCAGACTTTATTGGCGACAACACACAGTACACACATAAAAAATGTTAACAAATGTTAGTTCTAAGAAATTTTTATTTTGTAAAAAGACAATAAATAAAGCTGATAAATTTGTAAAAAGACATTAATTTATGAATTTACTTTTCATGGTACAACATCCTGATTCCCCGTATATCATGTGATCCCAAGTAATCTCATCCCACGTAAACTACGATACAAAAATCTAATTCTCTCAGTAATTATCTACATTAATTTCAAGTTAAATCTTAATTTGGAATACAAGTTTAAATGCCAGAATTATTTCAATTTGTACGAATAGCTTACTCAGAAATTTTGTAAAACGGCAGTGCATTCTCATTAGAACTCATGAATTTTAATCTCGACTTTGCATTTTCTATATTTTCGCCTTCAGATAAGCAATATGTGAATCCTAATTCACTAATTACAACGAATGGCCTTAGGGGATAAAATTAAACTATCTGGGTAAAATATTCTATGTAATTATATGCCAGTATTGAAAGAAACAATCAATCTGCTAAGAAACGGCTGCGACTTGTTTTGAAAATGAGGCATAAAAGGTTACCAACGAGATATTCTGTTTGGCTTCAGTTGTATCATTTTTGGCCACTTAATTGCTTGTGCCGGCAAAATGGAAAAGTACTGTTTTTTTTTTTTTTTTTTTTTCTCTCCCACGTTTGCAGAGTGCGTGGCCATGTAAGGCTTTCTTTTGCATATAATGTGGATTCAGGTGAGCTTTCCTAGTATACTTCATCAGAAATCTATCACTTTTAAGCTATTTAGCATCACGATTCACATCCATATAATTACTGTGAGAGAAAAAAATACAATTATGAAGTAAAAGTGTATATTTATAAATTGATGTTCAATTATTAACCTCTTGCCTGTGGAATATATTTGAGAATAATAACATGCCAAAAATAGAAATTTTTTCCCCTCCTTAATATTGTTCATCATTATCATAAAAATGTTAGATTATTTAAAAAAATTTAAATGAAAAAACAACTATACGCGGCGCACAATGAACTGGAAGTTGATCTGTCAGCACTATCCTTATCTTCAGGGCAGATGTTTTTATTTTATTCGGCTTATAATTCCTTACTAAATGTAGTATTTAATCTCGATGTGCTCCGTCTTTGATATGATTTAAATCAAATTCCTCGTCTTTATAAATATGCAGTTTTCTAATTTCGACTATGCATAATGTATGCTTTACGCATGCGCATGTTGAAAGAAATGTTTAATAGAGTAAACAAATAAATATGAAGCTTTTTTTTTTTTTTTGGTACATTTTGATACCCTTTAGATCATAATTACTCTTTATTTCATAAATTACGGTTTCATATTTTTACTTTTATAATTTCTGCATGCCATCTTACCAGATTTAAACTGATGATCTATAATTCGGAAAAATCGATAATTTGGAAGCGCCGAAGTCCCGACAAGTCCGGATTAAAGACTTTTGGCTGTATATTTAAATTATATATAAAAAATAACATTAAAATAAAACATTTTTATTTTCTGCTGTTATTGTAGAGTTTCATTTTGGCAACTTATTATAACAAGATTTTGAATCTGAAAAATAAACAAGGTGTAATGCTATAAAGTACAATTTGTGAAACAGTTCTTAGCAAAAGCAGAAATAGCTATGTAATTAATTAGAAATGTTTTCTTTTTAATTTTTTCATAGTTAGAGTTTTTTCCATGTAATTGTCTTAAAATTCTCAGATTATGCATCAGTTTTCTCTATAAAATTAATTTTACGCTTTTTTTTCTTTCAAAATATTTTTGGCTTTTTGCTGTTACAAAATTAGTAGGGATAATTTTTTTTGGAGAAATTCTGGAAGAACAATGAAAACATAATATTTGAATGTTTAATTTCTGATACTAGAATCTTTATCTTAACATTTATCTTCCCTTTATTTTCTCTTATTTTCATGAGACACAAGCATGGAAAACATCAAAAATGCTTCTGATCTTATCACATGCACTGATATTATAGAAAGGAAGTTTTTTTTAAAGAAATTGAAAACTTACAATTTAAAAAATTCATCTAATATGTCTTAATGCTGGTGCTAGACATTTTCCCATCTAATGCAATTTCTGTGCCTTTCTAAATTTTGCTTCCAATTCCTGCTCTACATTCTAAAAGTTTTGCCATTTGTAGATTTTGTTGCTTGGTGTCACTAAATTCTAAAAATACTGCCACACCAGCTCTGTAACCGGCCTTTTTCCATATATATTTCATACTTCTTCTGAATGTCCATATTACTAAAGAAATAAAATTAGTAGCTTTTTCTATATATTCTAAATGCTTTTATTTATGTATTTATTTTTTTAGAATAACAGAAATTCTTAAGTAAATCCAAAAATTCTAAAAAGAAAAGGATATATGTAGAAGAAAGAAACTAAATGCATAAAGAAAATTATTCTTAAAAAATATGTACAGTTATTATTATGTAAATTACCGAGTTGTTTATGACTTCAGCCTTTAGTGCAATTTCCCATTTCTGTTTCCTCATATGAGAGAGTTACTGAGCCAGCTTAAATTAAAATTAAATTGTATAGTCTTTGACCACTAGTCCACATTTTTAGTGTGAATTTGACTGTTCTTGTTTAATTACATACCATGAGCTGTAATTGATTTTGTTAGCATCAGAACATTCTTTTATGTTCTAAGTTCTTTTTACATAAAAAGAGGCTTATTTAAACCCTTGTCTGACATTGTAGTTACTTTCAAAAATGGAGATAATTTGCTTCACATCTGTCAGGGGGTTTTGGACTATTTAACTTTTACCAGATCAAGTAAACCCTCCTAGGTACATTTTGGAGAGGTTGACAAGTTAGGAGATAAAGCACGCAGAAACTAATGAGAACAGTGATTTACGTATTGAGACAAATTTCTGATTGTTAGAAAAGATGCTTATAGAGAAAGAAATCTATATAAATTAGCCAAAATGTCTGGGAAGACTTAAATACTTGTAATAAATAAGACTTGTAAATAAATATTTTGTTGAGTGTTGTTATGAAACATCAGTGCTTTGTAGCTTTTAATTTGTAATTATCCTAATATCTTTTAATATCTTAAATTAATGTATTTTAAACTGTGAAATTTTATTTGATTGTCATTTTAATAGGCTTTTTCAATAAATAATGTTAATAAATAAAATTTATTAGTGTCCATGTAAATCCATAATGACTAAGGTTATCTAACTACTTAATTTAATTATTTATAACTAACTGCTAACCCTTAAAAATTATCTCTGCATGTTAAAACGAGTTACTGAATTTCATTAATCCTCATTGTGGTCACAAGATAAAACATAAAAATTCATGTAAAACTTATTCTTTGCATCTAGTGAGACTTAAAATAATACAAACAATTTATCACCTGTGGTGCTTTAGTGGCTTATTGGAACCGTAAAGTATATTAACTGGGTTATAACCCCTGGAACTGTACATGAAGCTACGACACTAAGTGCATCAGACAGAGCCCAACTAACTTGAAAAACTTGCCAATCGTGGCGACATCAGGCATTTCAGGTTTGTTCTAATCAGCAGGCCTCTCTCTAGGCAAACAGCAACGGTACAACATCCAGTCTTTTGTTATGAATCTTGCTGATATGATCTTACTTCTCATTTTGAGCTATGCCGCTTGACATAAAAATCTACCTGCTATTTACTGAACCTCTAAGAATGAGCAAATATGTGACAAAATGAGACATTAAAAAAAAAAAAAAAAAAAGCGTAATGGTAACTGTTAGTAAAACATAATAAAATGTCACCTATCTTCTTTCAAATATGTCCAACTATTAAGAGTGTAAAATATTTAATGCTACTTGACAAATATCATAAGGTTTATTTTATTCTCAAACTTATTAATAATTATGTTAATTCATGTTTAATAATAATTCATCCTACTTACAGATCTATTTTATTTTTAGGATGGTATTACAGAAGTGAAGTTCAGACATAGATAATTATTTTAATTGAATTTATTCAGTTTCCATTTGCTCATAGATCCAAATTTTTTTTCATTAATGGTCCTTAAAAGTGCTTAATGTCCGTGTACAGAAACGTGTAAAAATCTTGTAACCATGTGAACCCTTCTGCTGTTTAAATGATTATTTTTGTTTTTATCAATAAAAGTATTTTAATTATTTCTGTTTGAAACAGCAATTCCATATTGAGGCAGCGATAGTGTAAAATTTATGCACGTCTCTCTGTTTGTGACATTATCTCCTCCGGAATGGTGGGGAATTGAAGCCATTTTGACTGTTATCATTTTCATACGACTTTAATCAACTGAGATATTAATTAAAAACTCTGAAAACACTAATTTTCACACTTATTTTTTTCGGAGTGTGAACAGTCTCGCTTGTCGGAGATAAAAATGCTTTTTTTCTCACCCAAGAAATGTTGCTACTGCTCGCTTTCAAATCGTAGAGTTTGTTAATAAAAAATTTGTAAGGGTTCTAAAATATGAAATAAAAATAACATTACCAAACATTAAACATATTATTATATAAGGTAAATAGTCTATAGTTGAAGAAAGCATGCAATTGAGCATGTAACATTGCTTTGTCAAAAATTGTTCATTAATGTCAGTATTTTAAATAAATAGCTGCTGTTGGCAACTTTTGTTTCAAGTTAGTATAATTGACACGATATGTTATTGCCATGTTAAATCCTTTATTTTGAGGAAATGTTATATTAAATTTAACATTTAATCATGATGTCATACGTAATTAACCTGAAGTGTCAAAAGATTTTGTTTCCTGTTTTTGGAGTAAAAAAAAAAAAAAAATGATTTACAAATTGGTTGTTGCATGGAAAGAATGAACTAATTTCTTTCATGTTGAAATGTTTTTCAGGGGTACAAAAAACTTACAAATTTTGTTTTGGCTGCAGCCCGCTCCTCTGGCGGGCTTGCCATTAGTATCTTTTATTCTTTGAATTTTTTATTGGAAATATTTGTAGTATTTAATAAAATAAAAGTCTAATTTATAATTAATATCTTTATTGCAAAGGAAAATTTATGCAACGCTTAGAGCAGAGTGGTCATGGAAAGAAAATAAAAATCTCTGTCTAGCAATTAATTCTTGCAGATGTAGACTTAGTATAATGAAATGTCTTTTAATTACTTATTGAAAATATTTAATATGTGTCTAGTTCAAAATCAGTATTACTGAAAATCTTAATGCACATAGCAATTAAAACTCATGTTGTGGATAATAGAAGCAGTTTCTGCATCAGCGAAAGTCAGCTAACAATATTTATAGATTCCAAATATTACAGATTATCTGTAGTTTTAATGGAACTTCCATAAAAGACTACGAACTATGGAAAATTTGGAAAGAATTCCAGAAATAGGGCAGGTGAAATAGTATGCAAAACAGAACCAATGAATTAGCTGATCTTATGCCATCATTTATCACATGTTGAATGCATTGGTGGTTTTAAAGAGTAACCAATTTTAGATCAGGAAACTCTGACTGTCAATCTCTGTAATATAACTTCCTGCAGTGAAGAACTTGTTTACCCTGCTTTGCCTCCATTTGTTTAGATTATGGTGAGTGTAGTCCTTGTGAATTGGGATTCAGCTGAAAATTTTTTTGTGAATTATACCGTCTCAAACTAAGAACCTAAAATTGTCAAGCCTGAACAATGACTCTGTCAAGAGAACTTCGCATTTTTAAAACAGTTTCTTCACAGTGATGTGTCACTGATAGGAACACAATGTGCATTTGCATCCACTCTGCATTTGGTCGGCATTTACTCTGAGTGTCCAATTTGGAATATGTGAAGGAGGGGATATAGGTGACAGCAGAACTGGTCACCTGGACGGTTTACAAAGACTCATCGGGTATTGTCCCAGACCCGTCACTATCTAGAGCAACCCCTCTGGATCCCACAAGGACCACATCAGGAGTTTATTGCAAAACAAAAAAAAAAAAAAAAAAAAAAAAAATTGCATGGCCATACAGCGGCTAAGGAAAGGAAGAAATACAATAGAAAGTTGTCACATTATGCTCAAAATTATTCTGAAGTCCTGGTTGCTGAAAAAGACTTAAAATAATGTGTAAACAACAGAGACCACCACTTGCACAATGTTGTTAAATAAAACATTCTAGTGGTGTGAAAAAAAAAAGAAAGTAATTTTTTGTTATTTGAACTTTTAAAAAATAAAAATTTCAGATCTTATTTGTTTTGGACTTTATTATTTTTCCCTATTCAGAGTTCTTTCTGTCAGACTCTGTAGATTTTTAGCAGTGCCCAGTATTTTTACTTTGATCACTAAAGTAATTGAAATTTGTATGTGTGTTAATGCTATTTTATGGTTTTTAGTGATGTTTATTCATTTCATAATTTCTATCTTTCAGCCTGAAAGCTATTCGTGCAAAAGTTTGGGCTGCTCGAACAGAAAGTCCTTTATTTAATGTCAAAACCTATGCTACAAACTTAGAGCGGTTGTTCTATGAAATGTGGGCCAAATACGAGCGAGGAGAGAAGCCTAATCATATAACAGAATTACCATAAGAATATATGAATTAGAAGAACAGAATGGGATGTAACATGTTTGTTGTAAACATGCATATCTCATTAGTCAAGCAAGAAATACCGAGAATTATAATTTGACTTCGCAGAATCTGCTCCCTTGTTTTTGAGAGCATGAAATTTTCTGCTTGTAATATAGGAATAATTAAAAATTCAACTGTCCATAATCATCAATTCACATTGCGTATGTTAAAAGTACCATATTTAATTGTATGTGGAGACCGGAACCAATCTTTTCTGTCTGGTTGAATGAATAAAATCAGGAAAGAAACTGTTGAATCATTTATTTAAATGTTTGAAAAAAATCCCAGTTAATTATTTTAGCATTTTGTTATTGATTTATGTATTTAGTAAATTATAAAATTGTATTATTAGCAATCAGTAAAGCTTTTGAAATATTAATTAAAATTTCTTCTTTTAAGTATAAAATAATTTTTATTTCAGAATTATCAAAAATTGATACTTCTAGGCATATAAAATACTCTTTTACTAGTTTAATGTATTTTAAATACATGAGAAACCCAAAATACATGAGAAACCTTTTCTTCTAAGAGTCTTCCTTCCCTTTCTTTTCAAAAACTTTAAATTTGTAATTTGCTTCTGTTTTTATTTTTTCATAAGCAGGAGGAAAGTATACCAAAGAATGATCACATCCTTATTTTCTGGGATTAAATTAATGTCCTGGAGTAATTTTAAAAATTAGCATGAATATATGAATTTGCGTATGTGGATTTTAATTTTCAAAAATGCTTGCTTTTAAAGAAGGAAAACTGAACTCCTTTAACCCCTTCGTGCCGACTGTCACGTATACGTGCCAGCAACAAACACACTTACCTACCGGCCGACATGCAGGCGTGCCAGAGGATTGTTCTGTTCTCTACCGACTGTCACGTATTTGTGCCAGTAATTTGGAATGTTTTTCAAACTATAATTTCTGCCACAAGATGGCACTGTATGTCCATATGGTTTCAGATACATGTAAATTAGACCTTCTACTCGAAATGAGAGAAGCATGACTCGCATACACGTGTTTTTGATTATATAAACAAACGGGGAAATAAATGTTTCCGAATGGCGTGATTTATGACGTCTCTTTAAATCGCACTTTATTCGCACGTGGTAGTTGTTTACTGTAAGTAGAGAAGTTTTATTTGCTCTAAAGCGTTGGGTATTTCGGTTTGCAGTTCAGTTTTTAGAAAAATAATTAGATCTTGTTAGACGTGAATTCTTTGTTTTTACCGTTTTGCAATGTCGAAGCGTCGAAAATGTTTAACAGAGCATGACATAGCAGAAATGATGCAAAATATTTCAGATGTTGATTCTGAAAGATTAACTGAAAGACATTTTTCAAAACTTTGTTCAGAAGAGACTGATAAGAAAATGAGATGACGATGCTTCGTTTGTTCACATTCCCGGAAAAATCCTCCAAAACGGCAAATGAGTTATTACGAGTGCAAGGAATGTAACGTAGGACTGTGTGTAGATCCCTGTTTTCAAATTTTTCATACGAAAAGAGAATTTTAAGTAATATATTTAGTTTTCAGATGTATAATGTTAAAATTCATAAAATGGTGAGTAATTAAAATAAAATGTGTAAAATATGCATTTAAACAAGAAATAAGGTAATTAAAGTATATATATAAGAATATTTATAAAGCATAAGCCGTTTAAATACTCTATAGAGCATTATTAAACAATGCATTGATACTTCGGAAATTTCATGGTTTTAGGCTTAGTAGCAAAAAAGCCCCCGCCCCTGAAGAGATGCTCGCGTAAGACACTGCCGGCCTCAGCGATAAGCGCGCGTTTTCGCTACCCGCCTCGAAGGGTTTAATAAAAATGCTATAAATATAATTTAATTTTATGAAATTTTATATGCATGTTTCTGTTAGAAAAAAAATACCATGCTTTGTTTTCTGAAAAACCAAAAATTTGTGTTATTTCAGTTTTCCGATGAGCATCATGTAGAGTTGAAATTATCTGGCACGCAGCAGGAAGTGAGCCCAAAGCAAGATTGAGGCTTTTCTTTCAATTAATATTCATAGTAATTTTTCTGATGCTTTGAGAAGTTAAACTTTTTGACAGTTGTCAGATTAAGCAGTTCTTTCTTCCCAGATATGTGCAGTGTCTGTCAGTCAGTCAAATTTGTAATGGGGCTGTGTTCGTTCATTCCCACTGCAGTACCGAAATGCGAGCTGAGTTCATTGATTCCCATAAAAAGGGCTTGCAATATTTTATCATAGTTTTTTTTCTCCCCACCCCCCCCAAAAAAAAATTAACTTCTCATACATATACTTTTCAAGAATTATATACAGGTGGTTTTTCTTGTATTATTTCATAAAGGAAATTTAATTGGTTTAAGAAGTATACTAAGTGTTATTTTTGATTTCTTATGGTGCAGTGGATGCCAACATAAGTTGTATTGAGAAAAAATTAATTCTTTGTGGATGAAAAGTTATTAATGCAAAATTTATTATTTGCAATTTTTTATGTGAGTATTTTGTTACAACTGTTATTCGAGAATTAGTGTTCATACCTTCAGATATTAGTCAGGTAATATTTAGAGTTAGGTTGTTATTTTAAAAAGTTGCATATTTTTATTGTAAAAATTATTTTTGTCACTGAGAAAATTTTCCCAATTTTTTAGTTTGGTAGGTTGGCAAATATTAATTGGTACTTCTTAAATTTTTAAATGTATCTGAAGAAACAGAGAGCAACAGCAGACAGTAAACCAGTAAGGACCAACAAGAAATGCAAAGTTTCTAATATTAAAGTTTGGTTAAGAGTGAGTTTGATATTATTTGGATTTGCTAATTAAGGTTTTAGTTTGTAAATTGTAATATTGTTATTGGATGCAGCTTTATGTAAAAGTAACAGGCAGTTAGCCATGACATGTTTTAATGATGTAGTTTAGAGAGATTTATTATAATCATGTTATTTTTAGGATAAAAAGGGGAGATTATCAAATAAAACAGAAGACAAGGAGTCAATTTTACATTAAACTTCAAATTTTATTTTGTACAGGATGTACCATAAATGTTGCGGCAAACTTCTAGGGGAAGTAGGGCACATCATACAGATTAAGAATTGCATAGGAACCTATACCCAGAAATGTCAGGGTTAAGTGGTAGCAGAGATAGAAGAAATCCATATGAAGAAAGAAACGAGCGATTAATTTAAAACAGAAGCATTTATTGGACATGAATACAAATGGTGTACAACAACTTGAATGTTACAACATATGCTCGAAGTTTGTCCCATCAGGTGCCAAACATGCCTGACACCGACGGACCATTTGAATGCCGCAAATGATTTTATCTTTTGGAGCATGTTCTTCCTGATTTGCTTGAGGATGTTCCACCAAATGTGAAGCGCAACATGTGATTCCAACATAACGGGGTCCCTGCTCATTTTGGACTGGATGAATTTAAACAGATCATTCCCACATTGATGGATTGGGCGTGTGGACCAGTTTCTTGGCCCCCACACTCACCAAATTTATCGAGCTTTGATTTCTTTTTGCAGAAGCCATCGGAAGTGTTCTATTTCAGTATCCTTTTGTGTCTGAAATGAATCTCGTGGCAATACTCACCTGCTACAATCAAAGAAAATCCCGGTGTGTTTGAACATGTCTGACAATAAAGAGCCCATCGGTGTCGGGCATGTTTGGCATCTGATGGTGCAAACTTTGACCATCTGTTGTAACATTCAATCTGTCATACACCATTTGTATTAATGGCCAATAAATATTTCAAATTAATCACTCTTGTTTTCTTTTCCCATCTGCTACCACTTACCCCTGACATTTCCAGGCATGGGTTCCTATGCAATTCTTAATCCTTATGATGTGCCCTACTTCCCCTAGAAGTTTGTTGCAACATTTACACCCTGTATATATTCTTTATCTTGTCTACACATATGGATTTTTCGTAATTTTTATGACCTTAAATTTTACTTGTTTATACTTGGAAGACACTTTTTTTTAATGAATTTTACTGTTTTTGTAAAGATATCATCATTGCAATTTGTTGCCAAGCCTTTTTTTAATAAGATTTTAGGGTTTTCTTGAGATCATCTGAAGAAGAATGCTAACCTCATCATCAACTTTTAAGATTACCGTGCTCTTCACATGATTGGGCAAATCCTTTTTTTTTTTTTTCCTTCCCGACATAGGGAATAAATGTTAAAGCATACGGTCAATTCCACAGTCTTATACTATCTGTCCCTAAATTTCACCAACTCTTAACTCTCAGCTGGAGGGGCTGGCATATGGTATAATTTTAGAGGGACAGCGTATGAAGTTTGCCAGGTCGCTTTTCAGGCCTCTGCTTCGTGTTTGAAACTATTTAATCTTACATAGCATTAAAAAAGGTGATTTGTCATAGTAAAAATGATATAAGAAAAAGAATAACAGAAAAAAGGCAAAAGATGGAAATTACGAATTTTTAATTACCGTAATTTCCGGAAGAAACGCTACTGCATTTACATGTTTAAAACTTAAATTTTCAGCGGGTGTGGCGTTTCTACCCATGCGGCGTTTGGGTGCACTAAAAATAAAATGGTCGTTGTACATAGTTTGGATGGCCGTGTCATTGTACATAGACTGGTGCTGTTCCCTTACAAAAGACCACTCAATTGCTTTTTATGAACGTTATTTTGTTTACATTCTTCCCTTGAACAGACCTACATGCCTTATTCACCCTATACGGGATCTCAGAACAATAACATTCTTCCCCCTTTCAAATCGACATTCTCTTCAGTTTGAATAGTCTCTCTCCTCTGCCATTCTATGAATCTTCTAGGACCCATCCTCTCCCCACCCCTGCCTTTTCTGCAATTTTTTTCAAAGGCGGGCACGACTCCATCTGCCTCGCAATAACGAACTCTGACATATTTCCTCTTCAGCATGAATCGATTTTTCTTGGCGTTCTGCCAGATACAGATCCCATTAGTTTGGGTACAAGTGCTTGTTAGATAGTTTTTAAGTAAGAAGGGAGAGGAAAATTTTTTAAAATGGCACCTAAACGGCACAGAAGCTGTACTGTTGGTTTTAAGCTTAATGTAATTTCACATGCTGAACAAATTGGAAATAGAGCAGCAGTTCGAGAGTTTGAAGTGGACGAGAGATGTACTCGACGTTGGAGAACTGTAAAAGAACTTAAAAATATGCCACAACAGAAACGAGCCAAAGGAAGTGGTACTGTAAGATGGCCGAATCTAGAGGATGACTTTGCAAACTGGATAAAAGAGCAACGAGGAAAGGGAATGGCA